GCCGGCCTCCCCGAACGGATGGCGTCGGCCATAAAGACGGGCCTAGTTGTTTGGCAAGGTGCGTCACCCTCTTCATCTCCAGTCGCCACCGCCTTACCCATCACGAGCCTCCTCCTTTTTCTCTCCTCGGGCTCCTCTCCCTCGGAAGGCTCGTCCGCAGGTTGCGGAGACAATGTCGACGGCCCCGCCTCATTTATAGCCACCTCCGCAGGAGCAGCCTCTTGTAAAGAGGCTACGGTCACCCCTTCCTTGACAGAAGCACAAAGTATTTCCTGCGTAGTCTGACCAACATCTGATCGGAGGAGGCGGATGCCGTCGCCCTCCTCTTAGGAGCACTTCGACCTGGCAATAAAAGTGATTTAGCCGACGAATTTTGCGAAAGCGACTAATTAAAGTCGAAGAAATACCTGAAGGGCTCGCGGGACCGTAACGTTCAATGAATTCAGCCCACGTACGGGTCTCTTCCGCGAGAGGCAGCAAACCGGACACCCACTGCTTAATATCGGTTATGAACCGGGGGACGTGAGTTATAGCTGCAAAATAACAGAAAAATCATAAGGACGGTATAATCGGAACCGCTAAAGTCACGTACGATAAATGACTCGACGGATAGTAATACTTACATCTCGAATTCCACCTCTAAGGGAATCCGACAGGGTTAGACACCAGGTGCTCCGTCTTGATGAAGAAGTATCTACGCCAATAGCCCCGGTTAGCCTGATCGTCGGTTTGTACAACCAGCCCCTTCGAGCCATGATTCTTTAGATGCAACATGGTGCCCCTCAGATAGCTGGCACTGAATAGCTGCAATAGGTGGTGGACGGAGACCTCCAGCCCGACCAGCTCCGCGTATGTAGACATTACCCTACATATCTTTAGGGTATACGGAGTGAGCTGGGCGGGACACATGTTGTAGTAACGGCAAAGTTCCTCCGCCAATGGAAAAATGGGGAGGCTGTAGCCGATCTAAACCCATCTCCACGTGAGCGGGTATATCATACGACGCACGAAGGGTATCTAAATCGGTTTGTTTTAACTCAGATTTCTCCCAAGGTTGTTCGGGAGAATCCCTTTTGAAAGTCCTTCCTAATAAGGAGTTGCTTCGGGAGCACGTTATCTACGGTAAGAGGGGTGAGATCCTCCCCTTTCTCTCCCTTATCGCCGCCGGATGGAGGCGGTATGTCAGATGATTTATTATTACGAACCCCCGGAGTGTTATCCCGTTTAGGTTTTGTCATGGTTTCCGATTAAGGAGTGATGTACTACGCAACCACAAGTGTACTTTCAGGAAAGCGGTGATTTTTCGTAAAAAGAAAGCGTTTTCTTGAAATAGTTAGAAAACGTTTGCAGATGATCTAAATTTAGGTTGAGTTGAACCCTTTCCCTATTTATAGGGTTGGGTAGCGTTGAAATCGAAGAGGCAAAACCCCAAACAGGCGCGGGAAACCAAGCATCAGAACACCTTTTGTACTTCCTCGGGAACACGCATAACGATGACGCCTGCATATGGTGACGTCATCTCAGGGAAGGAATTGCGCACCAATAGATCAACAAATTCAAACGATCGCCCCCCCCACCCCCCACGTCGTCGTCTCCAAACATGGTCAAAATTTTCCTAGTACAAGGATCATGGTTCCGTCCATCGGCGACTCGCTTCGTTACGTCACCAATGAACGGAGGGACTATCTGTATGGGGTCAAATTCTGCCCACTATGGTAAGCAACAACCCCCGACTAAGCAATAGCCGAAGTAGAGGGGACGACCTAGGAATGTCAGAGCAAAAGTATGCCCTTGAGTCTCATCGTCTCCTCGAAAGCACGTGACCTATCCCTGTATTATTTTATTATTTTTTGAGGGGGTTCTCTTGTTATATAAAGGAGAATCTCAATGTTGTAAAAGGGAGATCTTTTTCAATAACAAGCTATCTTTTCTTTCTATTTCTCTCTCTCTCTCGACAAGCTTTCTCTTACTCTCTCTCGAATATCCAAGTTGTTGAAACAATCACAAGCATAATACATATTTCTAGGTCTAATTATATTCGATTACGATTTACCTTTGATTCATTTTGATTGTTTTCACTTACAAAGTAATTAGTATCTTTTGAGCCAAACAATTGGTACTTTTGAGTCCCTACCGTTACAGTATTAAATATTTATACCCTTTCATTAACTGAGGGGACACATGTTCATTCCCTGTGCTATTTTTAGACCCAAGTTATTATACCCGTCTTTTATTAAGACTCGACCCACCCAATTCAATAACCAATAAACACTTAAATGAAAACGACCCTTTCCATTTTACACCAGCCCTAGTTTTACCTCTCTTTTCTAGTCCGAAGTTTTGTACTGGGTTCAGGTCCTACTGCACATGAAGTTTGGCGATTTAGGGTTGGACGAGTTCAAAGGTACCATCTTTCTTCATGAAATTGTTCCCTTTTTCGTTTTTTAGTAGATTTGTTATGCAATTTTGTTGAATGTTCTAGCTGGTATAGGGTTTGTGTTCTACGGTTTCAAATAATTTCTTAAAGGTGGTTTAGGGTTTTTTTTTTTGTATTGTTTACATTTTATGTTGTTATCTAGACAGTCCTATATAAATTTGGTTACTTTTTGTTTGTTAGTAAAGTAGTGGGTCCTTTAAATCATTTGCATGTCGGATATTTTAGGTATTATTTGTTGTGTTGTGAATTCTTTATTAAAGGAGGGCCCTCATAGTGCCACGTTAGATGCAGATTCTGTCTTTCTTTATTGTATGTGTGTGGGGGGGGGGGGGGAGGCGAGCTCATATGTTTATTCGTATTTTTTATGCCTCTTTTGCTAGTTCCTTTACTGTTTTCTTATTTATTTTTTTTGCCTTTTCTTTGTTGCATGCTTGTAGAAAGCCAGTGATGGTATTAATTGACTTAATATTTAATTATGGCAGTAACTGTTGCAAGACACAAGTGCTATACCCAAAGAAAGTGCAGCACATTAAGAAAGGGTATGACCCAGACCTTCTATCTTTTGTTGATTTAGTCAATGAGTTCACAGAAAATCTGGGGTATGTAGGGGTTTAACAACTAATAGTTGAAGTCTCTTGTGGTACACTTTATGAGATTGAAGGGGATGAGGGGATTGGACATTTGTTGAAGCTAATTTGTAATTAATATAAAGTAATCAACATGTTTGTTGTTGATGAATGTGATCCTCCCTTGCATAGTATATCCAATATTATACACCATAATTTGGATGAGGTTGGCACTGATTGTAGAGCTTACTTGGATACTGTATGCAAGAATCAATGGGTTGATAACAACCTGACTGAATCCTTTAACAAATAGATTCTGGATGCTAGATTCAAGCCAATAATTAAGATGTTGAAGGATATAAGACTCAAGGTCATGAACATGATAAGGATACATGAAGATGAAGTGAAGACGTGGGCTACTGAATTCAGTCCAAAAAGCATGCAATTGTACAGTGAATATCTACATATTGGTCAATGTTGTAAAGTCAATGCGAATGGTGACAGTGGGTATGAAGTGTCTGAGGGAGGTGATAAACATTGTGTTAGGCTGGATTTGGGGATGTGTACTTGCAGGACATGGGGTCTTAGTGGAATCCCATGCCGTCATGTTATTACAGCTATGCTCCATAAGAATATAGATCCACTAACAGAAATGCATTGGTGGTTTAGCAAGGAGGCATACTTATTGACTTATAAACACAAGTTACAGCCTGTTCCAGTTGAAAATTTTTGGAAAGTTGAACCTTCCCTAGCAATGGAACCACCAGATTTTGTGGTAAATGTGGACAATCAAACCATAATGCAAGGACTTGTGGCATGGTAAACCTATCTTCTTCACTTTTATTTAGTTGTATTTGTATATATTACCTCATTTAACTTCTTTTTTTAATAGCCATCAAAGGGGAAACGCAAGGCAAAGCAACTTCAAAAGAGGCAAAGATCTTTAATAGATGAGGAAACAAAAGAAGATATAAGCTTATCAGCGCCTCCAGTATCTCAACCCAGTCAAGATAAAAAATTTACCTTTATGTCAACACCTACAAGTAGGAGAGTTGGGCTGTCAAGCAAGAATGTAGATGCTAATATCTCAGAAATTGGCAATGATGAAGATGTTGCTGTTAGGCCGATGAGTGTATCAAAAATTATGACAAGACTTCAAAAGAGGAAAAAATAACTATACCAACTGAGACAAGATCAATTAACTTCATAGGTGACACCAATGGTGTTAGTGAGCCCACAGATCTTCCATATACACCACCATCACTTACCTAGAAGGGACAGTCTGCTACAACTGGAAATCAGCTAGAGAAGCAAAGGCAACAGGGGATTAGGAAGCTGCAAGCAAGGAAAGGAAAATGAACCTCAAGTTTAGGACTGTTTTATTTTATTTTTTGGGATGTAATTAGTGCAATCCGACAATACTTTTGTAGTATTTAATGGTCTTTGATGTTGTTGGTACTGAAACTTGAAATAGATGTCATCTTATAACTTAGTAGTGTAAGTTTTTGGGGTTATAGAATGGCATCCAGTTATCAAGACATATATTTACTGCTGTGACAATACATTTTAGATGGTTAATGTTTAATGTCAATGATGTTGCCTTTATTTTGCTATTGTGTTGATCATGACTTTCAAGTTATGATAATTCTACTTCTATACGTACGTCTTGCTCATTTATAGTTTAGATTTGGATTGTAATGTTCTGGAATTATACTTGGTAAGCAGCTGAAATATGCTGGTGTATTCTGTGTTCACTTGACAGCAAACTTGTAAATTACAGCAGTTGGTATAGTTAATGAAATATGCAGGTATATTCTGCAGTTCTGCAGTTGTGTTCAATTGAAATATGCAGGCGTATTCTGGTGCAACAAAACTAATTACTACATAATGCAAGGACACTAATTGAGGCAACCTAATTGATGAGAACCAAAGCTCAGGTGCAACTGATTACTATATAATGCAAGCAACTGGTGCAATAAAGCTAATTGAAGAGGACCAAAGCTCTTATTGCAATCAATACCTTTTTAATACACACTATTTAAGAAGAACTGAATGCAAGGACATAAAATCAAAAACTTCATTGCAATTAACTTCATCCGAAATACAAAATAAAGTAATGAAATCAAAAACATTCCAAAATACTACATAATGTCCACCAACACAATACTACATATTCAGAGCTTCACTTCATCATGAAAGCTGCAATAAATCCAACAAATAGCGCACATGAAATTATAATGAACATCTTCAACTTCAACATTCTTTTTCCAACTCTCTTGACTTGTTCGCTTCAACAATATTTATAGCCTCTAATGCATCCACTTTTTCCATCAGTCTGTCCCTTTCAGTCTTGCACGCATCCAATGCCATATTCAGGGTTTTACATTGAACTTGAGCAACATCAAACTTCGACTTGAAATTGTTAATTACAACCAAAGCTCTGTCTGGTAAGACTTCGTCTTGCCACTCCCAAAAATCACATGATTCATTCTTACAAACAAAATCCAGACAACATATAATGAGAAAACTAACAAACTTGAAATTTTGTTTAAAATGTCAAAATTATATAAATCTGTAGATATATATCACTTACTTCAAGTTTCGCGCACTTATAGAATCTCCTACTAGGGTTATAAACAGTGGTTGAAGTGAAGTGGTTGACAATATCACCACAAAAGCACCTCCTTTTCGAAGGACAACTAGATTCAGACATTGAGCACCCACTTATCCACTTATATAATACAGCCTAAATTGATAAGGGAAGGAAACAAAATCGAACAGACACAGGCGAATTCAAGTTCAAATATGGAGGAAACACCAAAATATGGAGGAAACAATTTCAGTGTAGAGAGGAAATAGATTAAGAAATCGAACTGATACAGACGAGGGTTTTCATTTAAGTGGGGCTAGTGTAATTGGGTATTGGTTATTGAATTGGGTGGGTCGGGTCTTAATAAAAGACTGGTATTATAACTTGGGTTTAAAAATTACACAGGGAATGAACACGTGTCCCCTCCGTTAATGAAAGGGTACAAATATTTAATAGTGTAACGGTAGGGACTCAAAAGTACCAATAGTATAACAAAGACTTTCTAAATACTGTATTCAATAGTATAGGGGTATATTTGACCATTTACCGTTATATATATGTATGGTATTAATAAACGGACGATCCAGTTTTGTGGCTTTATCTCTACTCCATGTTCATTTTACTTGTCCACTATACTAAAATTACATTTTCACTTTTACTTGTTCACTATAATAAATCAAGAGAAAGACAATTTGTTTTCCTGTTTTACCCTTATCATTAACTATTCATTCACAAATCATTTCCCAAGACTTTTGAAAAATGCTATTATTATTATGGATAAAATTATAAAATATTAGTACTTAATTTAATTTTTCTTAATAGGAGTGCAAAATCAAAAGTGGATAATTAAAAGTGAACAGATATATCCCAACAAGTTACGAATTCAAGTGAATAAAAAAACATTCTTGATTTTGCAACATGTTAAACAATTCCCCAAGACCCCAACATTATTACGTGCGATTATCTGGAATAATATATACTATCCCGATTCACTTTAATTGATTTTTCGATGTTTCACATATATTAAGGAATCCACTTTTTAGCATAAGTTAACAATATACATTGATCATATTAACCTTAATTTGTTCTGTGAAAATACAACAAATACTCATAAACTCTTTACTCCGGGGGAAACTAAGAAAAAAAAGTTAATTTTCTTTTTTATGTCTGAAAAAATTAAATCGTGGACCATAAAAAGTCCAAAAAATCAATTAAAGTGGACCGACAGGAGTACTAACAACACTCTCAAACAATGTTGGGACCATTGAGATGAATATTCAGTTCTTTCTTTAAGCTCAACTCATATCATCATCATGCCAAAATATAAGTTGAGCTTAAAAAGGAAGGGAGGACATATATCGCCCGCCTCAACTTTGTCTAGGAGTACGGCATAGTCGTTACTGTTGTTGTTGTACATTGTTCAAAAAATAATGATACGTAATAATATTGGGGAATTATCTTGTACAATATATGCATGGAAATTTTGAATTTTTTTTCAATGTGCATGTTGTATTGGGAAAAATTGTATTTATATATATGGTGACGTGTCATGGCACGTAGATTGATCAAGCAATCAAAGAATTAAGGTTGGTTAACAGACACGAGCAACAATAGATACAAGCAAGTTAAATGAAGAAGGCACGAGCAGTCATACAAATAATTCAACGTTCGTACCTATTCAAGACATTCAAAGGTCAAAGATCGAGAAGAGACAAAGGAATGAATCTGACAGCAAAAAGAGCCCAGATACAACATTTAATGAGTATTAAATACTAGAAATGTTAGAGGATATGTATTTAATGTATATGATTGCATAACGTAACATTTAAGGTCATTAAATTACCCATAATTGTCTTATTATGACAGAGGGAAAGTCTGTATTCCCAAAACAGCTATAAAAGGGAAAGTCACAAACAACTGTAAGGACACGAAAAACACGACTGGAATATACTTTGTTTTATTTGCTTTTTGATTATATTATTCAAAATCTCTTTCTTATATACTTTTCCGATTATCAGTAACCCGAGTTCTTCTAAATTCAAACTTTGACCTAAAATCTAATTTTTGGTTAAACAAATTGGTTCCGTTACCGGGAATCTGATAATCAAGCATATCTCAACCTAATTTTCTTGATTGCATCAATCATGTCGAACAACAATGACAACACTCAAGGAAACCCAGAAATTCAGACAATCCAACAACTTCAGGGAGATTCCCCACGAGGCTCTCCACAAGGTTCTCCACGACGGTCTCGCGAAGGCACTCCTAATGGATCTCACACAGATGGACAGGCTCAATTCGAAAATGTTGAAACCATGAATGAGGCTCTGCAAAAACTTATTGCCTCTCAAGTCAATAACGCTCTTCAAGCTTTTGTTAGCCAATTACCTGTTGTTCCACCCACATCTACTCCGAACAACAACACTTTGGAGAATCCTCGTTCAGGATTGGTTAATTCAGGCAGCGGTGGAACCCCTAGTGAAACACAAGAGAGAGACCCAGGTAATCCAGTTAACTCTGATTTATAAAATCTAGTACTAACCTTGCAGAAACAGCTTAAGGAGCAAAATGAACGCATAGAGCAAATACCTGGAGTACCGCCCGTGATCAAGGGAGTGGATATAGATAAATATTTCCAACAACCATGGAAGCCAAGTGCTGCTCCCCTCCCAATTCCAAAGAAGTTTAAGATGCCTGATATTCCAAAGTATGATGGTACATCAGATCCACGAGATCACGTTACTGCATTCACAACAGGTGTCAAGGGCAATGATTTGACTAAGCAAGAGATTGAGTCGGTCTTGGTCAAAAAATTCGGTGAAACACTCACTAAAGGGGCCTTAACATGGTATTCTCTTTTACCCGAAAATTCTATAAATTCGTTTGCTGAGCTTGCAGATTTATTTATCAAAGCACACTCGGGAGCTCAAAAAGTTGAAAAACGAATGGAAGATATCTTCAAAATCAAGCAAGGAGACTCAGAGTTGCTTAGAGAGTTCGTAGATAGATTTCAACGGGAAAGAATGACGCTGCCACGAGTACCTGACAATTGGGCAGCCATAGCCTTTGCTAGTAATTTGAATGAGAAGAGTTCAGAAGCCACGGGGCGACTCAAAGAAAGCCTTCGAGAATTCCCAGCAACAACGTGGAATGATGTCTACAACAGATACAGTACAAAGATGAGGATTGAAGAAGACATTATTTTACGAGATAATACAGAAGAAAAGGTAAGCTCAAGGCGTGTGGAAAATAAAAAGAGATCCGGTAAAAACAGGTACGAGCCATACATGGGACCTGCGGGAAAGACTCACGATCAAGGCAAGATAATCAAAGGTACGATCACAAACCTAGGAACAGGGAATCAGGCTCCTCATCAAGGTTCGGGAATGATCGAAACACATGCGGGTCACGAGACGATGATGGAAGTCTAAAGGCAAGGTTCGGTGGTTACAACTTCAACGTAAGCTCCTCTGAACTCGTGGCTGTTTTAAGAAGCATGGGAGATAAGGTACGATGGCCAAAGGAAATGCGATCAAATCCGAACAGACGAAACCCTGATCATTGGTACGAATTTCATAACGATCATGGGCATAAAACAACAGATTGCAGGTTTTCTACAAGGTGAAGTTGATCATTTGTTAAAACAGGGGTATCTTACTGAGTTGTTCAGTGAGAAAGGTAAACAAGCATACATGAAGAACAGACAGGAGCCTCCAAAACCACCTTCGCCCAAGAGAACTGTCAACGTTATAAGCGGAGGTGAAGAGATCAATGATGTATCATATAAAAAGGTTTCAAAAGTGATAATTACCCACGGGAAGCGGCCTCGACATGTACTGGAAGAAGAGAATGTTATATTCAACAACGCAGACGCCGAGGGACTCATAACTCCGCATAACGACGCACTGGTAATATCTTTACTTGTACATGATACTAACGTGAAACGAGTTTTGGTTGATCCAGGTAGTTCCGTAAACATTGTTTTAATACGAGTATTGCGCGAGATGCAAGCGAAGGATAAATTAATCCCAAAGGCGCATACTTTGTCGGGATTTGATAACTCTAGTGTTGTAACAAAAGGGGAGGCAATACTTACCACATTCGCAGAAGGCATCGTTAAAGATACCAAATTTCAAGTGGTAGATATGGAAATGGCTTACAATATAATTCTTGGGAGGCCATGGATTCATGACATGGAAGCTGTTCCTTCAACTTTACATCAAGTTATTAAATTCCCATCTCCATGGGGAATATGCCGAATCAGAGGCGATCAACAAACATCTAGAAGCATCAATTCCGTTGCATATTCAACTGTTAAAGGTGAACCAAATAGCAATTACAGAATTTAGGTGAGGGTAACACGGAGTCAACTTCACCTGAGCAAAAGCAAACAGATCTGGATTCAAGACCTGATACCATTCAAGAACTGGAGGAGAATGAGAACATCAAAACAACGATAGAAGAGCTAGAGGCCGTGGTGTTATTTGTACATTGGCCCGAGAGAAAAGTGTACATAGGAGCTAATCTTAGCCCGGAGGTAAAACGTAAATTGATTGAATTTTTAAAAGCTAATGCGGACTGTTTTGCTTGGTCCCATTCTAACATGACGGGGATACCGCCGGAAGTCACGACGCATAAGTTAAATGAAGATCCATCATATCCTCCCGTCAATCAGAAGAAAAGAAAACAAGGAACTTTCAAAAATAAGGTGATTCAAGAGGAAGTTCAAAAGTTGCTAAAAATTGGTTCAATTCGTGAGGTAAAATATCCTAACTGGTTAGCTAATACTGTTGTGGGTCCTAAGAAGAACAGTAAGTGGCGAGTCTGTGTAGATTACACAGACCTTAATAAAGCCTGTCCAAAAGATTCCTTTCCTTTACCGCACATCGATCAGTTAATTGATGCTACTGCAGGGCATGAGCTATTAAGTTTTTTAGATGCATATTCAGGTTATAATCAAATCAAGATGGATCCAGGAGATGAAGAAAAAACTTCTTTTATAACAGACATGGGTACTTACTGTTACAAGGTAATGCCCTTCGGTCTTAAGAATGCAGGTGCAACGCATCAAAGGTTGGTCACCCAAATGTTTCAAGAACATTTAGGTAAAACCATGGAAGTATATATAGATGATATGCTAGTTAAGACCCAACATTCAGAAGATCATATATCACACCTATCTGACACGTTTAAAATTTTACGAAGATATAATATGAAGTTGAATCCAGAAAAATGTACGTTTGGTGTGGCATCAGGAATTTTTTTAGGTTTT